CACGCACGCACGCACGCACGCACGCACGCACGCACGCACGCACGCACGCACGCACGCACGCACGCACGCACGCACGAACACACATACAAACACACACACCCACCATACACACAAAATAAGAAAAATCTAAGATATTATTAATAATTGACTTCTGCAAACATAAACATGTAACTTCACATATTGTACGTGTGTTACGTAGCATGATTCTTTAGATAAATATTGCTGTTTCTCATATAATATAATTTACGTCGCAAAATTGTACATGAGTAGTAAGTGTGCTTGTCAATATCATTGAAATATCATAATAATTTTTTAATCTCAGGAAAATAATAACTTGCGAGATAACAGAAATGGAAAAAACCACGACACACACTTGATTATAAATTCTTATAATGCATTACAAAGAATAAATTAACATATATTTGATATATTAAATCAATAAAATTTATATTTGGAACTTATATAGAAGTAATCAATGTCTAATCTTTTTATTATATAACCTGTTTGTTTACTTTTTAATCGATATTATCATATATTTGTTGGAACAATCTTTATTGTCTCTATCGAGCATCACAAGTCATTTAATGTGATGAAGGTTACATCAAGCTAATGTTATATAACGTACATGAAAACATCGTCGTCATGCTGATCTTAACACTTTGAATATCTGAATATGTAATACTGTTTCTCCTAGTGGAAAACAGATACTGACAGATAGGTGGAATACTCTGCGCGAATGAAGTTTTTTATAATATCTGTTTGCTACTTGCGATTAGATTTTTTGTACTGTGATAGTTCCAAGGTAACCAGAAGGATTCAGTCAGATAAAAGTAGTTGGTTATATTTAGGAAGAAATATAGCTCGTATTTTAAGTAAATGTTCGATTTTTAGATTGAATATTTATTTTTCTTTACAACGGATTAGGAAAGTATTATACATACATATGCTATTCTTATTTTTACTCTATGTATACAAATAAGAAAAGTTTAGGATATTATCAAGAATTTATTTTACAAATATAAAATTACTTATTATAAGTAGTATAAATTCTTCTCTTTGCATTTATAATTAAACATTGTTTCGTTTTGTATAATAAATAATTCGTATTGCAAAATTGTATGTGAATTGAAATAAGTATGTTTATTAACGTTATTAGAATATAATAAAACGTAGCTATAATTGTATAATCTTAGAAAAAATAATAATATACTTAATAACAAAAATAGAAATATCAATTTAATTGGTTATCCGTTATCTTTGGATAACAGATAACAAAATAAATTGTTATAACACGTTAAAAAAGATTGAAAAAAATATTTTTGCAGTTAAAGCTCTCGGATAAAGACCCATAAGCCACTTTTTGTTATTGGTAAAAAACTTGATGGTACCATTTTTAATGGAACTTCTGTTTTGGGGGACAGTTCCAGACTGTACTTTTTCAGGAGCGTTGCCATACATGCTTTCATCTGTAGCTGAGCCATTCTCATCCCAACACAGGACCGTGGTCCTTCGCTGAAGGGAAGGTGAGTGAATTTCTTGACACTGCGTTTTCTGTCCGCGTTGAATCTTTCAGGGTCGAACTCGTTTGGCTTCTCCCAGTGATGAGGATCATTGTGCAGGCTACTGATGGGTATCAGTATGTTCGTTCCAGCTTCAATATGGTAGACGAGTCCGTCGGAGCCTTTCAAGTCAATTGTTTCTGTGCAAATTTTGTTTAGGACTGTAACTACGGGTAACAATCTCTGCGATTCGTTGAAGACCTGATCCATATACGTCATTTCTCTCAAAGCTTCGTACGTGAGAATGTTATCGTATTTTTCCAGTACGGATATTATCTCTTCACGTAACTTTTTCTGTACTTCAGGATAAGCAGCTACGTGAAAACCAACGAAGCTCAAAGTTGAGCCGGAAGTCTCGCTGCCGTCTATGAAGAACGACACCGCGTGAGATGCTAAGACGTCTATGTCGAATTTATCACCTTCCATACGCTCTAATTCCGTCATCAATTGAAGGAAATCGTTTTTTTGCATACCACTTGTTCTTCTGTCTTCCATAACGTTCGTGACCAGCGTCCTGAAGAAATTATCAAATTTTTCTGGTAATAATTTTATTCGCAACATTTTGCTAAAGTAGGGCATTAAAAATGCAATGGTGATTTTAATAGAGCTCAGAGAAGAGGGTTTGAAAAGTTCCTGTCCGATATTATAGAACGTTTCTTTCTGTTTTTTGTCGTCGAAGCAAAATCCGTCCACACCGAAACCAGCGCTTGCTACTACCTGCGTGGTATATCTGCAGAACAAATCCTTCAACTCCAATTCCACTTCCCCTGTTTTATTCATCTTTCTGTCTATGAAGTCTTCGAATTTCAGACAAACCTGCTTAACGTTCTCGAGCAGAATCTTCAGTCGCATGCTGGAGAAGGCGTAGGTCAGACGTTTCCTACCAGTTGTCCATTTTTCTCCGTACGTGAAGAATGGATTGTTCGCCAGAAGTGGGTCTACGTCAGCGTTGACAATGCCACTGTTTTCGTGAAAATTCGTGAATTTCGTCTGCAGCACGGTTTTCACTAGTTCCGGGTCGCGAATCATCAATGTCGGCGTTATGAAATTGTAAAAGCCGACTATACTGTGCTTTATATTGTTATCGTAGATCTTCTCACAGCACTCGTTAAATGATGCTCTTGACATTAGTAAGTCCCACATATGACCAATGCCTGGTAAAGCACCATTTGCACAAGGAATGCCACGTTTTTGCCAGTATTTGATGTTGTTTGCCAAGTAGAGATAAAGGAGTACCAGTGCTCCGAAGATTAATGATACGAACATGACAAACATCTTGTTTCTCTTTCAAAGAATCATACGATACTGAGCGGTTGAATGTTGCGCGGCTGCTATCTAAGTGTATTTAAGTCTTGTATAACTCTTGGATAAATGGCTTGAATAATGAGAATGATGAGGTCAGCTTCCCTTTTAACAAAGCGCACTGTTTTCGCGACACAATGCATTCTGTTATTAGCAAGAGTTTTAATGATTACAGAAGATTATAGGATGAATGTTACACGTGTTTGAAATGTTATTTATTTATTGAAATTCTTGATATAACTGACATTAGCTTATATGCCATCCTATAGGAGAGAACCAGGATGTCCAGCTAGATGATACGATTGCTGGCTATTATCCAATTGGGATGCGCGTGACCTTCATCTCTATTATATGATAAATAGAATATGTCGAGTTAGAACTCATGTTTGGTTTACATAAAATAAATTCATCAATGTTAGAGAATTTCAGCTTCTCTAACATTACTTTAATTCGTAATTTTACGTTTGTCGAATTATGAAATAATTTTTCCTTTCAATATTGGCAAACGAGTTCAAAAAACTTTTGTGATATTTTTCCATACACAAAATTTCAATATGGTATTATATAATCTTTGCATTTTTTTTAAGCATTATAGATATCTCATTATATGCACGATATAATTTCTTTAATCTATATAATATAAGATATATAAGCGCGTGATATGAGATAACGTCCTGTATATTTATTAACTTCCATTTTGCAATAAAATGCACTTGTAATTTGCATCCATTTAGAAATCACCAAGAGAATTCTCTATACTTTACTACTCTGTACGTTACTTGGCTTTACTCGTTTCTTTGCTAATAAAGGTCATCAATCTGCATTGCCATAACAACGATTCTGTCATCTAGACCATCAGCAGTCGCGGCTGATACGTCGTCAGAATAACGTCGGACTGATTCTAACTAAAGTGTTAATAATAGCAAGATGGCTGTCGTTCTATTAACTTTAATTGTCGGAACACTTATCATCCTGTATATTTATTTAACGAGAAATTTGAGATATTGGGACAAACAAGGAATTCCATGTGCGTCTGGAGTTTTGCCTGGAGTGGGTCATATGTTATCAGTACTGTGCTTGAAAATTACGTACGCTGAACGTTTTCGTCGAATGTACAAAGAGTACAAGAATTTCAGCATGGTCGGTTTTTACAATTTTTCGTCGCCGTCGTTGATGGTCATCGAGCCGGAGTTAGTGAAGGAGGTGATGCAGACTAATTTTGCAAGCTTCCAGCAGAATGCTATCGCAGTGGATTCTAACTTGGATCCTCTAGTGGCCAATAATCCCTTCATCGCGACTGGGGAGAAATGGGTGACCGGAAGGAAGCGTTTGACTTATGCGTTTTCTAGCATGCGATTGAAGATACTGCTTGAAAGTGTTAAATTGGTGTGCGTAGAATTCGAAAGCTTCTTGGACAGAAAATTGAATAAAGCGGAGAAGATGGAATTGGATCTGAAGGAATTGTTCTCCAGGTACACCGCGCAGGTGGTAGCGAGCGCGGGTTTCGGCGTGGATGGATTGTGTTTCGATGAGAAAGAGAGCAGCGCGTCCTTCAGAAACATCGCCAAGACTGTCATGGAACCATCCGTTCGGAGTACACTTGTTTTCAATATCATCATGATGATCCCTTGGTTGAACAAGATCTTCAAGATAAGTTTCATACCGAAGCATGTCGATCGTTTCTTCAGAGGGTTAATCACGGATCTTATGAAGAAGAGGAGAACGGAGAATGTACCTAGGAACGATTTTCTTCAATTAATGGTTGAATTAGAGCGAATGGAGGGTGACAAGTTCGATGTAGAGGTACTCGCGTCTCATGCGTTATCGTTCGTCCTTGACGGTTACGAGACCTCTAGTAGCAATTTGAGTTTCATCAGTTTCTACTTGGCTACTCATTCGGAAGTGCAGGAGAAGTTACGCAAAGAAGTGGTGTCCGTACTCTCTCGATACGAAGGCGTTCTCACGTACGAAGCTTTGAAGGAAATGACGTACTTGGATCAAGTAATAAACGAGTCTCTGAGGGTCACACCCATGGGGCCAGTTTTGACCAAGTATTGCACAGCGAAATGCGAGCTGAAGGGATCCGATGGTCTTGTCTGCTCCGTGGAACCTGGAACGTTAATTTTAATACCCGTTCAAGGTTTGCAGGAAGATCCTCGGTATTGGGACAATCCTGAAGTATTCGATCCTGAAAGATTCAGCCCGGACAGGAAACACAGCATTGAGAAATTCACTTATCTTCCTTTCGGCGAAGGGCCGCGGATCTGCGTCGGAATGAGGATGGCTTTGTTGCAGGTGAAAGCATGTCTGGCTGTATTCTTAAAAAAGTACAGTCTGGAGCTTTCACCTAAGACACAAGTACCCTTGAAGATGCTGCCCGGAAATTTCCTACCAACACCGAAGGGCGGTCTATGGGCATTTGTCCGACAGTTGTAATCATAAAAATCTTTCTTTATGATACATAAAGATCTTTATGATATATCAAGATTTAAGATTTCATGATATTAACAGCAAAATATATATATCAAGCATCAATGGAAAAACAGAAATTATATAGCATCAAGCTATTATAAATAGAATTATACTTACGTATTGTTAAATAAAGTTACTTTTAAAAATCTATAAAATAAACATTTTTATGTAAAAATATGTAGAAGAAGAAACAATTTAATACTTGTGTTAAGCATATTCTTCTAGCAAGCATTTTAAAATTTTGTAATTAATGCTAGGTATAGATAAATACACACATACAATCTCATATTATGTACAATCTCATATTATATTATATATTATATCTCATGTTAGTTATATTAATAGTAAAAGTATATGTAAAACATAATTTTTAATCTGTACTGTCTAATTTTTTAGCATTGCATTATATCGTTAAGAAATTTTATATAAGTATTCTGATTGTAACGTATGCAGATAGTACGAAATAAATTTATCAATTTATTAATTAGGGTAGAAATATCTAAATAAGTAATTCTTTTAAATTTCGGAGGTCTCAATTTCAAATCTTATTAATGGTAAGCGTATTTTTCAGATACGATGTAAATTGAACCAATTAAACGGCGTAAAATAAAAAAAGATTTTAGACAATATTATTTTCGTCACCACCTTAAGAGCAATGTAAATAAAGAGAAATAACAAACAAGTAGGAACTCTGATTAAAAAGCGGTCAGGTAGTTCTAATAAAAAAGCAACAATCGCAATTATTCATTAAAGGAGAACTAAATTTATGTTGCACGCTAACAAATAGTCATGATTTTTTATTTTACAACTATGAGATCTTATTGTAAGATTATTCTTGTTTTATATTGAAACAGCTTTTAAAATTACTAAATTTCATGAAATATAGTAATATACCGCATATTCGCTTAAGAAAATATGATTTGTGTTAGGATAACTCAAGAAGCAGAAACAGAAATCAAATAAATAATAGGAAAAAGGGTTAATTCGAGTTCAAGCACAGGATTAATAGTGCTATGTACCATATGAGTAAAACCTTCCTTGTTAGAAAATAGAGCAATATTTATTGAACATGAATACTCAATATAAATAATCAAACGTTTCGGCTCAATCATGAACCCTCTTCAGTGATATAAAAAAACTCAAGGTTTACAAAATGAGCGCATTATAAGTAAAAGAATTAATTAAAAACTTTAATAAAATGACATGAATGTTATTCGCAGTATTATAGCTGACAAGACCGTTACTCGACTAATATTAAAAAGTTCAAATTAATACTAGGAAGTAGCCATAACTATAAAAAAACCATAAAATAAAATAAAAATAGGTAAGATTAAAATATAATAAATAATTAAAACGGTCAATATGAATTACTTTTGTTGAGCTCAGCTAAAAGTGAAACGATCCTGTCAACAATAACCTCGCCACGTCTAAGTAAAAGAGATAATAACAGACTTATATACACGAACATTAACATTGCGGCGACGACTCTTGGAAGAGAAGGAAATAAATAAAGTTTTATTTTCATAATAAGCCGCAGTAGCTGTTGCCCAAATATTCTGTGTCCTTTTGAGAATTAAGTCCATGTTTTTGAAATTTAATGTAAATCATTTCTGATATCAGGCGTTTCATGTAATGACGTTCCTCATGCAAAATTTTGGCTTGATCCTAATTAAAATCATGGTTTTTTTACCCATATGGTACATAGCACTATTAATCCTGTGCTTGAACTCGAATTAGCCCTTTTTCCTATTATTTAATTGATTTCATTGTTATTGAGTTCTTATTTTCTTACTCTTAATAGAAATCAAATAATATAACTATTTGAATTCTCGATATATTCAAAGATCAAAACTTGAGCGTATTGGAGAAAGTTACAATAAATTAACGAATCAATGCAATAAGAAATTAACAATTTAAACGATAACACGAATTACTTATCCCGAGCTTTACTATTATACTTTTTAATTTCCTACTTCGCGACTGGACACTCACAAGGCCCAATTTGTACTCTAGAAATGTCGCAGTATCTATATAGACATCAGAGGATGATAACATGCGATAGAATAATTTGCGATAAAATCCTACGTTTAGAATTGAGTTAAGAATTAAGAGATACGCGAAATGTTTTATTCACCAGTCAACGCTGATAAGTAGGACCGGATTGATCAATGTGCCTTTGATGAAAGAAGTGAGCCATAATGGATGTCGTACTTATTTCTTTGCTTATTGGAGTGCTCGTCGCAACGTATTACTTTTATTTGACCAGACATTACAATTATTGGCGCAATCAGGGCATTCCATGCGCGAAGGGTCTTCTCCCCGGACTCGGTCACATGTGGCCGGTCGTGTCTTTGAAGATGAGCTTCCCTGATTTCATCCGACAGATTTACGAGGATCATCCGCAACACAGCATGGTCGGTATTTACAACAAAACGCAACCTGCATTGATAATACGTGATCCAGAATTGGTGAAAACAGTGATACAGTCGAATTTTGACAGTTTCTCCGATAATCTATTGAAAGTGGACTTTCAACTCGATCCTCTTTTCGCGATAAATCCTTTCTTTGCCAACGGCGAGATGTGGTTTACATCTCGGAAACGTTTGACTCACGCGTTTACTGGCAAACGGTTAAGAATACTGTACAAGTCCGTCGAGCAGGTTTTGAAAAAGTTCGACGATTACCTGGACAGAAGAATGAGTGGAAGCAACAGTATGATAGAACTCGAGATGAGGGATTTGTTT